CTGGGGACACGCAGAGTTCAGCTTTTTAGCTCCCCTCACACAGAAGGCACACTGGGCAGGGTGAGGAATGGGCAGAAAGTGAGCCAGTGGCCAATGATTCTGAATCCCAAGAGGGTTAAATAAACATTTTACTTAGGTCTGACCCCCAGCATAGGGAGTGGTTATTTCTCCATGTGTTCTGAAATTCCACAATGCCTAATTATATCTTTTAGTCAAACAAGTATGTTCAAAAGTGAGAAAATCTATAGGGAAAGAAAACATTAACATTTTAGGATAACACAGTATGTCCTTTTCGTCATACACTTCAGTGTCATTACAAGGGCTCACATTTACTGAGGGCTGCTGTGTCCATGCTCTGAATTGAGTACATTACATAGTTAAGTCTTCAAATAACCCTGATGGTAAGTACTATAATTACCTGCATTTTACATATAAGGGGAGAAAGGCACAGTGAAGTTGAATGATAAGGTATAGCCAAGACTGGAGCTCAGACAGGTTGTCTTGAAGCCCATGCTCTGAACTATTATACTATATCACACTATATTACATTAAATCATGACTTTATCTTGTTATGATTCAAATGTGTCACTGTTACCTTAGGTCTGAACAATACACATTTCTCCACCTCAGAGAGGCCTCATGCCTTTTTGTGCATTATAAAGTAAGATAATACAAAATTATAGACGGAAATGACAAAGACCTACATTTCCCAAAATTTCTATATGCAAATTTGCAACAATAATTTAACATTAATGTAGGCTTTGCACTTAAAAGAGAATTTAACTTTGATGTGTAACAAATTACATTAAGACATTAAATCTGTAAGTCATTGTCAAAAAAAAAAGTTTGCTTATTTTAAGCAAAGAAAATGTTCCAGTCTTTGATATATGTTCTTAGAAACATGAAAATAAAATTCCTTTCCTCAACTGTCCCATTCCATTTTACACATATTGATCTTTCCATATGTTTTAAATAATGATGAAATTAATAGGAACTGTTTTTAATAAATCCAAATCACAGCTCTTTTCATGTCCAAATATTTTAGGGTAGACTGAGGTGAAAAAGCTGCTGAAGCGTTAGGGAAAACTAAGAACAACGAGGAACAGCTTTAGAAGAGCAGTTGAAAGATGGTGAGTAGCTGGGGAGGCAGCTGTGGAAAGCTATCTTGGGTTGGAGATGGGAGGGAGCTCCAGTCAGGAGGGGTCTGAGGTGGGAGGAACCAAGGCTGGAGCCCAGGTAAAACAAGACAGCAGGAGGAACAGAACAAATGCCTGTTTGATAGGCGTTAGCTGTGAATCAATGGGGAAGACATACCCTGTGGGATAAGCCACACCTTTCCTATAAACTCTAACAGCCTTTTTTAATGTACGGCATTGGGCAAAAGTTCTTGATATTTTTTGAACCTTTATTATTTAAACAATGTGTTATGATATTTATCTAACTGAATTGCAAAGACAAGCCAGTGGGTCAACATCATGAAGTGCCAGCACAGAATCTGGCACTGTGGGTGCCAGGGAGATGAAGACCCTCCACCCCTATCAGCCCACCAGATACAAAGCAGCTGGGCAGTGGGAAGCCAAGTGAAAGACTCCTCCCAGGAAGGCTGGGCAGTCAGTCCCACAAGTCACCCCAAATTTTATTCATGATGTATGGTTATTTTGAAAGTCGTTACAATTCAAATGATTTTCTTTCTAAACCAGTAACAGGATCAATTTTTTTTTTTAAATTCAGAATGGAGGAAAAGTACAGCTATTTCAAAGCATTTTTTCAATCATACTAATAAACCATAAACTCAGACTGCACATGCACTTGGGAAAATACGACTTGATAAGGTCACTAGTTTAGCTATTAAATTATTAAGTTAATAAACTAGCTAAAACTGGTCTAAACAAAAATGTTGGTTTGGAATGTGCTACATTTTAGCTGTTCAAAATGTATTATTATTTTTTAAATACAGAAATGACAATATTTGTTTGCATAATGAATTGGCCACCATATTAAATGAAACCATGGTTTTATATGACTATACCACACAACATAATCTGTGAGACATCTATTTTACAAATAGGCTTTTTTAATAAAAAAGAGTTTTCAATTACTATAAGCACCTTTAGGTCTGGAAAAAAAAGATTTTTAATATCTTAGACCTTATTTACGCTTCAACACTTTATTAGCCACTGCTGACATAATTTTGATACTCTCATATTTGGGAAAGCGTTTGTAAAATGACTATGCCACACCATCATGCTCACAGGGCCCTGGACCCTGGGGCCGTATGGTGGAGGGGGAGCCACATAGTGAGTTATGCAGGCAAGTGTGCCACCCAGAGGTGAAAGGAGGAAATTCACCTTGGATTTTATTTCTAAGATAAAACTAATAAATGTTAGAACATTTTAAATTATTTGCTGCTACTTATCTTACTAAGAAATAAGGAAGATTTTTATAAGGTTCTACATGCAGGAACAAAGTCTTTTAGTGCCAGGCTATTGACTCTTGGAGAGCTCTCACAAGAAGGAAAGGGTACTAGTCACAGGTGCACAGTTCACTGATTAAAAAACTGAATTTAACTGTATTCTCTACAGTAAGTGCTTTCTTGTCTTTGTATAATTAATATAATATGTGTTTCCAGAAGAACATATAAGTTTTGGAACAACCACCATGATCCACTTAGGCATGTGGACCAAAAGTTAAACTAATTACCAGAGACAGTTCTTACTTAAATGAGAAAAGTTTCTTTCATTAGAAGGTTTTCTGTGTAATTTTCTTCTGGAAAAGAAATAAGTTTTACTTAGAGTAATTCTTTTGGCAGACAATCAGGGCTTCTCAAACATATACTAATAATTGTTAAGGTTGTAGAAAGCAGCCACTTCTATTAAGCACACATAAAAATTCAAGTGTCTAATGGCTAGACAATAGGCTGATTATAAAACAGAGATTTATGATATTCCTTTTTTGTCTTACAAGTCTGGATGTTGGAATCACTGTTAGTAACAGACCAACATTTAAGAATGATGTATTTAAATGAACCACAAAAGATCAAACTTAACCAAAAACATGCCATATATTAAAATGGGAAAATGATTTTTTAAGTATAAACTATGAAAACTCCCTTTTTTACACTGTAAAATCATATTTTTTAAAGAATGTTTTAGGTTCTAAAACTCTTATTTCATCTCACTTTATTGTTTCATTTCCACTCTAATAGCCTTTAAAATAGAAAGATGATTCTAAATTCACATCCATTTATGTTATTTTCTAGAAAACTCATTCCAGGAATATTCCAGTGTTGGCTGTTGACTTCTAATTTTTTCTCATTAAACGAGAAAATTCTCCAATTGATTATTATTTCCAAGTAAATTTTTCTCCCTCCAAAATTTAAGCAAAATGCTGCTTTACAGTACAGTGTTGTTAACTAAGCATTTGTCTCTTCTGTCACTGAGGGATCTCGTCATGATCCATGAGAGTTAATTCTCTTCCCTATTTATACGCCTCAATCTTCCACACACCTTAAGCTATGTCATTCTGTGAAAGATGCTTCCATCTGCAATGATGGCTACGGATATCTGAGCACGGGGCATAAATGGCTCTACTTTTGCACCTCTATTTCTGTGTTTATTTAGGAAATCAATGAGACTATGGGTCCAAGTCCAGCCTATTATATAGAGATATCTTCCAAGCATTGCTGGAATTGGAGCAGAGATGACAAAGACAACCCAGTAGGCCAGTATGGTCACTGCTTCAGATAAAAGCTCAATGATGAAAGCTCCAGATATGTATCAGGGGATATACTGCAAGAATTTTAAATAGGGCCAAAGGGTTGAGAAGCTTCAAGAAATACATTCTGAAGTAACAAGGAAAAACTGGCTACTCAGGAGACTGACCTCTTACATACCCTAAGTTTATCAACAAGGTCTGTGTGTCTGTATTATACTTTCAAAGAGTAAAACAAAAACAGAAAGGATGACTACGTGGCAGTTCATGAATGATTCAAGTTCAGTGATGAGTATCTACAATTTCAAGGGTAAATGTTGAAACATTCTCCATACCTCTTACTGTTCAAGAAGACCTAGTGATTACATTCGATGCTTTGAAATTGCTAGAATCTCTCCTATCCCCTCCTCCTGCTCACAGTGCCCCCATCTTACTGTGCATCATTTTTAAATTTTAAACTTGTTTGACCACTTCCTAATTAATCTGTCTCTATGCCCAACCTCCCACTCTACCCTACCACTGTCACATTTTCAAATCCATCCTCCAAACGGAGTCCAGAATAATCTCTGTGAAGTACAAACCAGTCATATCACTCCCCTGCTTGATATTCAGGCAGAGAATCAGGACTCTGGGTGTTGCTGCTCCCCTCCTTGCCCTCTGCCCATGGGCAGGGGTAGGGATGCCGGGGACTGGCCACATCCTTCCTAACCTGCACACCCAGGATCTACGAGGTGGGGCCGTCACTACTGGCTCCTCTGACCTTTCTGTTTCAACGTAACCCACCAATCATATTCCTTTTGGAGAAATTAAAATAAATCCTCATCAAGAAATGTCAGGAACCCTAATTTATGCATGAGGTCTTTTACAAAAATATCTTAACTACTAAAATAATAGTTTTCAAACATTTTTAAATGACAATATTTTCTTCAAACAGTATCTAATGCAGAACCCCAACAAAAAGTGGTTCAAACACCATTTTTGAACTTGACAACATAAGCTGAGGTTAGATCACAAAGCACCATATAAGCCACAGAATAAAGTTCAAATTAAAAAAAAAATAAAGTTCAAATTTGGTCAGTGCAATGCAAGGTCAGTGGAGAGAAGCAGCAGCGATGTGACAGAATCTGATATACATTTTTGAAAGACCAATGTGGTTGTTGTGTGTAGAAGAGTTAAAACTACTGAGAATTTCAACACCTGAGAATTTTCATGAACCCTAATTCAACCTGAAAAAAGTGATACGCACTTTCCTCTTGGTGGGCTAGTGTGATAAGGGAGTCACAGAATACCTGATCCTCGCTGGTTAATCCCAGGTGCATCACCAGGTAAAAATGCACCAGGAAGTCCCTGTTTGGCAGAACGTCCTGGCGTCTGGTCATCATGGCACAAATCAGTCTGTAGGCTTGTAGTTTGCCTTCCTTATATTCATTTGGCAACGTCGTCGCCTGCCAAGGAGATGAGGTTTAAAGATTTAATCAACTCCAGATGCAGAGCATTTCAACATTTCATTTACTTCTCAGTATTCCATAAGAGTTGTTTATGGAGATGAAGGATGCAGTCAGTGGCTTTAGTAGGATTCAGCTTGTCTTCAAAATGTGCAGTCTTGGGCAATTACATTTTTTAAACTCAATTTCGGAAAGGAAGAGGAAATTGCAATAAAGGAATAAACACATATCCACTTGCCTTAAATAGCCATGATGCAAACATTCTGAGTGGTGGGATCAGGACTGGTGGAGACGGAGAAGACTGGTTATCCAGGCTTATTGCCAGATTATCCCGTATCTAATTCACAAAGAGGAGAATTTTAGGAAAGGCCACACTTAGTTTATCCCAATGATATTTCAATATTGTGTTCTATGGCCAAATAGCTGCTTCTCATTACATTTCTACATGTTGAGTGAAAACCTACAATATTTACAAGTTTTTCTTCTATCATGAGATCTATTGCCATTTTGAATTGCATGTCTCACTTACTGTACATGGTTTTAGATTTAATACAAAACTAGAGCATTGTTTTCCCTTGAGCGTTAATGCCTCAAAAGGTCCTGAACTCCAAACGATAAGGAATGCCTCACAAGTTGTATTGTATAAATATGAATGTTTTCAAAAAACAAAAGCAAAACCAGAAAAACTTAACAACCTGGGGAAAGCATACATTTATAAATAAAACCCAGAACGAAAACTGTATGTACTCTAGGAGTCTACTTTTGTATAAAATGTGTTTATCTATAGAAATAAAACTATATATTTATACTGTTATCTCTGTGGGATGGTGATGTTAATTTTCTTGTTAGTATTTTTCTACATTTTAAAAATTATTTATTTTTAATTTTTTAAACATTTTTATTTATTATTGAGAGACAGAGAGAGATAGAGCATGAGCATGGGAACGGCAGAGAGAGGGGGAGACACAGAATCTGAAGGAGGCTCCAGGCTCTGAGCTGTCAGCACAGAGCCTGACGCAGCGCTCAAACTCACAAACCATGAGATCTTGACCTGATTCGAAGTCAGATGCTTAACCAACTGAGCCACCCAGGCGCCCCTATATTTTTAAGATCTTGTACAATAAAACTGGCTATCACTTTTATAAAGAAAATACACAAACTTCTCAATACTCTATCCCTTAATATCCTATAGTAATATTCTATATATGCATTAAATGAAATAGCTCTTCTGAATTTATAAAATGACCAAACTATACATTATCGTTTATTCTGTGACAAACAACTTTGTCTAAACACAGAATATGTGTTCCAGATTACATTCAGTAGTTGACTGCCAACAGGGTTTTGATGTTAAATGATAAATCAATTTTCCCCTCTTAGAAGAAAAAGGGAATGTGGCAAGACATACCTTTGCTAGCTTGTACCAGAGTTCATAGAGATGGCCAAAAACTTTGGCATGAATCTTGGGTGACTGGATATTATTCACATCCCCGAGGATTCCCAAGACTCTTCGCCATAGCACAGCGGCAGAGTCTGGGTGCCAACCGGTGAGGTTCCCTCCAGCAATTATACTGCAGTCATCTGCAAGGCACTCACTGCTATCTACGGAGGAAAACATGTCTGTAAACACAATCTTGATTTCATCATTACTGCCCTTTCTCTTCAATGCAAATCGCTGATTCTTGACAATTTATATATTCAGGGTAAAATAATTAAAGATGAAAAGTGTGCAATGGCTGACAATTCCAAAGGATGGAAAAGCAGAATCAGTGAAGAAAGGTCAAGTGATTTCATTCTTCAAACTAAAAGGGCAACAACCTAGAGATGATAAAACAGTTTCTGGAGATGCTGTGAGTGGTTTTATATAGCAGAGGAGAGGAAGGAGGAGAACCCTGAGCAGGATGGGTAGGGAACAGGGCCATGAAAAGTAGATGGACAGGGAAGGCCTCATTGCTGAGGTGACATTTGTGGTGGCTGTTACTAACTCAGTTTTATCAGGGTATAACTTGTTTACAATCAATTTTACCCTTTATAGACTCAAGGTGTTTTAAGAAGTGTATACAACCACATAACTGTCACCACAAACTGCCACGAAAATTAAGATCTGGAACAACCTCATCACTTCAAAAGTGCCCCTTTATAGTGAGTTCCCTCCCCTTATTCTTTGCCCCTGGCAAGCACTGTTGTTTTCTGTTCCTACAGTTTTGTCTTTTCCAGAACGTCATATAAATCCTGAAGTATGGGTCCTTGTGGTATGGGTGCCGTCACACAGCTTAATGCATGTGAGATTCACCCATTTGGGGGCTTTTTCTTATTGCAGGTTAATATTCCATTTTATGCATATACCATAGTTTGTTCATCCATTCACCCATTGAAGGACATTTTGACAGTTTCTTCCTGTTTTCAGTGATTATAATCAAGCTGCCATAAACATTTGTGTACAGGTTTTTGCGTGAATGCATGTTTATAGTCTATCTCGTAAGGCCAGAATCACAAAATGGCAGACAGTATTTCTTTGCTTATTTCTTCCTTTTAGTGGGTCATCTCTCCTAGTGATGCTTGACAGAGGGGCATGTCCCTACAGATCTCAAAGTGTTTGTTCCCTGACTTGTAGTCCATAGTTTGGTTGGGAATAGAATTCTGCGATGGAAATGCTTTGCTTCAATTTCTTATACTTTGTGATTTAAAAAACATTTTTAATGTTTATTTATTTTTGAGAGAGAGAGAGAGCAGGGAGGGGCAGAGAGAGAGGGAGACACAGAACCTGAAGCAGGCTCCAGGCCCAAGCCCACAGACCACAAGATCATGACCTGAGCTGAAGTTGGTTGCCCAACTGACTGAACCACTCAGGCACTCCCTCCTTTGTGATTTTAATGTCAGCAAGCAGCATTCTGATGCTTGAAATTATTTTATGGAAAATTATTAACTTGACAAAATTTTAGTATCCTCTTTGTACCTAGTGTTCTAAAACTCCCTGGTGTCTCCTGGTGTCTATTTTCAGCCACTGTGTTTCCCAATTCATTGGGTCCTTTTAACTATAATATCCAGGTATTGTATTGACTTCCATTGACTTGATTTTATTTCTGCTGTCATATTTCTATTTTATTTTTATTATTTTTATTTTAGAGTATGAGCATGGGAGCAGAGTGGAAGTAGGGGGAGGGAAAGCTGAAAGGGGGAAAGGGGGAGAGGGGGAGAGGGAGAGAGAGAGAGAGAGAATCTTAAATCGGTCCCTGCTCAGGGAGGAGCCTGGGTGGAGCTTGATCCCATGACTCTGAGATCATGGCTTAGGCTGAAATCAAGAGTCAGATGCTCAACCAACTGAGCCACCCAAACACCCCTCTGCTCATATTTTCAATATCCAAAAGCTCTTTCTTGTTTTCAGTCCATTTTTATACTCTTAGTCTTTGTTTCATGGATGCAGTATATTCTTACCTCATGAAAGATATTAATAGCTTTTTAAAATTTTATTTCTTCCCAGGCTCTTTTTTTAAAATTCTAAAGTAAAAAAGAATTTATTAATATGTTTTAGGTATACAATGATTCAAGAATTCTATATGTTACTCAGTGTTCGCTAAGTATACTCTTAATCACTTTGGTGGGGGGATGGGTTAAACAGATTCTTTTTTGCAGACTCCTTTTAAGATCTGCTCCATTCTACTTCATCCCATATTCTTATATTTGTCTTGTATTTTTCATATTAGGTATCTTCTTCAAATGGTTAGGGATTCTTGGCTATCTTCTCATATTTAAGAATGATCCACAAAGGGCTGAATGGAAGCATAGTGTGTAGGCATTATCTTTGGAGAGTTTCACCATGTTCTCAGAAAACCTCAGACATACATATCTTTGGGGCTTTTTTCCCCTAGAACCCAAATTCTTTTTTTTTTTTTTTTTTTTACAAATAGTTTATTGTCAAATTAGTTTCCACATAACACTCAATGCTCATCCCCACAAGTGCCCTCCTCCATGCCCATCCCTCCTCCCCGCCACATCCATCAGTCCTCAGTTTTTGTCAGCATTCAAGAGTCTCTCATGGTTTGCCTCTCTCCCTTTCCCCCACCATTTCCACCCTTCTTCTCCCCCTTGTTCCTCCGTCAAGTTCCTCCTAATCCTCCTACACGTGCAAACATATGATATTTGTCCTTCTCTGCCTGACTTATTTCGCTCAGCATAACATCCTCAAGGTCCATCCAAGTTGCTACACATGGCCAGATTTCATTGTTTCTCATTGCCATGTAGTATTCCATGGTATAGATAAACCACATCTTCTTGATCCATTCATCTGTTGATGGACACTTAGGCTCTTTCCATGTTTTAGCTATTGTGGAGAGTGCTGCTATGAACATTGGGGTACATGTGCTCCTATGCCTCAGCATTTCTGTATCCCTTGGGTAAATTCCTAGCAGTGCTATTGCTGGGTCATAGGGGAGTTCTATTGTTAGTTTCCTGAGGAACCTCCACAATGTTTTCCAGAGGGGCTGTACCAGTTTACATTCCCACCAACAGTGAAGGAGGGTGCCCGTTTCTCCACATCCTCGCCAGCATCTAGAGTTCTCTGATTTGCTCATTTTAGCCACTCTGACTGGCGTGAGGTGGTATCTCAGTGTGGTTTTGATTTGTATTTCCCTGATGAGGAGGGATGCTGAGCATCATTTCATATGTCTGTTGGCCATCTGGATGTCCTCTTTGGAGAAGTGTCTGTTCATATCTTCTGCCCATTTCTTCACTGGGTTGTTTGTCTTTCGGGCGTGTAGTTTGGTGAGTTCCTTATAGATTCTGGATATTAACCCTTTATCTGATATGTCATTTGCAACTATCTTTTCCCATTCCGTTGGTTGCCTATTAGTTTTCTGGGTTGTTTCCTTGGCCGTGCAGAAGCTTTTAATCTTGATGAGGTCCCAAGAGTTCATTTTTGCTCTTGATTCCCTTGCTTTTGGGGATGTGTCAAGTAAGAAGTTGCTGCGGTGGAGGTCAAGGAGGTTGTTTCCTGCTTTCTCCTCTAGGGTGTTGATAGTTTCCTGTCTCACGTTCAGGTCCTTTATCCATTTTGAGTTTATTTTTGTGCATGGTGTGAGAAAATGATCTAGTTTCATTCTTCTGCATGTTGCTGTCCAGTTCTCCCAACACCATCTGATAAAAAGGCTGTCTTTTTCCATTGGATATTCTTTCCTGCTTTGTCAAAGATTAGTTAGCAGTATACATTTAAGTCCAAATCTGAGTTCTCAATTCTGTTCCATTGGTCTATGTGTCTGTTTTTGTGCCAATACCATACTGTCTTGAAGAAGACAGCTTTGTAGTAAAGGCAAAAGTCTGGGATGGTGATACCTCCCGTTTTGGTTTTATTTTTCAGTATTACTTTGGCTATTCGGGGTCTTTTGTGGTTTCATACAAATTTTTGGATAGTTTGCCTAGAACCCAAATTCTAAGAAAAAGACTTTCTATTGCTCAGATAATATGGAAAGTCTTTATCTAGTTCCTTTGTTTTCAAGAAAGCACCTCTACACTTAGCTGTTTATTGGTGACACCAGGCCAGAAACCTCCCAATTTATTTGCTTCCTTTTCTGGGACGAAGTTCTAACTACTTCGTAAATAGACTTCCAAACAGTCTGCCTGTTTTTAGCCCCATGATTACCTCCTACTTCTATAGCTACTTCATATGGGCAATTTTCTAACCCTTTTAAGGAACCTACAATAATTGCAGCCAGCTTGCTTCATGGCTTTCCCCAGTACGTACACAGGACACATCTGCTGACGCCCTGGCCATTTGTCGTCTGCTTGCAAATTTTGAAAGTTGGTTACTACTGCCTTTTTTCCTGCCATCCTTGTCCTTGTGGGTTTATGTCTAACTTAACATTAGACAAATGTCTAATTTAACATTCCCTATTGCTAACACCTTATGTAAGTATGGTACATCTACTATAATTAATAGACCAATATTGAAAACATTACTATATAAAATCCATACTCTATTTAGATCTCTTTGGTTTTTAACCTAATGTCTTTTTTCAATTTTTCTATTCCAAGATTCCATCCAGGATACCACATTACATTTAATTGTCATGTTTCTTTCACTTCCTCTTGGCCATGTTCTTGTTTTTGATGACCTTAATTGTTTTGTGCAGAACTGATCAGATATTTAGTAGAATGTTTTTTCAGTTGGGATTTGTCTGCTGTCTTTCTTTATTTTATTTGCTTATGCATTTCTGAAGTGAACTTCCCTTAGCTCTGATGTATGTATGATCTTTTCCCAATATTCTTGGATTTCATTTGCTAATGCTTTATTTTGGATTTTTGTTTATTTTTTTTTAAGTTTATTTATTTATTTTCAGAGAGACAGTGCAAGTGGGAGAAGGGCAGAGAAAGAGGGAGAGAGAGAGAATCCCAAGCAGGCTCCATGCTGCCAGTATAGAGCCTTACGTGGGTCTTGAACTCATGAAGCTGTGAGATCATGACCTAAGCCAAAACCAAAAGTCAGATGCTTAATGGACTGAGTCACCCTGGCACCCCATAGGATTTTCGTTAATATCCTTTTATGTGAGACAGACTCTAATTTTCCTTTTTCAATGCTCACTTTGTCTGGTTTTACTGTCAAGGTATCA